TTAAATTTTTGTCAAATGATTGAAAGCATTTAAACTGATTTAGATCATGAGAAAATCATTTTGGGACGAAATCCAACCTTTTAATAGGTTGGTAATCGATTACACTAGCAATGGTAATCCACTACCATTCATGGTAATTAATTACCCACTGCATGGTAATCGATTACGCACTGTGCAGAAGACAAAAATAATGGCCATAAAATGGCTAGTTTGCGAAAATGGTCAAATAAACACCCATGAGGGGCCTCTATAAATAGGAACCATTGTTCCATTGATTAGACACTTCTTCTTTATCATTATTCTTCATTTAAATCATATTACTTGCTTATTCTCATTCTTCTTGATCATAAATACTCTTTGAGCCTTTATTCTTGTGATAGTGTCAACACTCATAGTTCTTCAACTTGTATAATCTGTACGTTTAGAGTACTTAGCTATTGTTAAACACCTCCATTTGATTTCTTGAATAGTTAGAGGAGTGAACCCTTTACACGGTCACCAAATTTCTAAGAAAATTTGGAGTGAAATATTGTAAGGCATCAACAGTCCGAAGTCTTGAAAAGTTGTAGTGGTTTGTCAAGCACCGTCAAGCTTGATAGCTAGTGAAAAAGTTTGATCGAACGGCTTCAGTCTGGACGTAGGTCACAGTGGTGGTGACTGAACCAAGATACATCCAGTTAGCAATTTTTTTTTTTTTTGGTAAACATCCAGTTTGCAATTTTTCTAACCTTAAACTCCTTACTTTAGTCTTGAAATTGCATTTTTAGATTGTTTATTTATTCGCTTGCTTACTTTATTAATCAAACACTTGCTCCTACACTTAGACTTTTCCTTGTTAAATCATTTTCTCGAAGAATCGCTCTTTAAAATATCAAAGGAGGCACTTTGCGAAAAGATTTTATAAAACTCAATTCACCTCCTCTCTTGAGTATTGAAGCCACTTGTTCAACTGAAACATAACTATTAGCTAATTTTTTTTTTTTGTTTTTTCACTTTAACTGTATCTCAAAAAAAAGAAAAAGAAAAAAAGAAAAACAGAATCACATCAAGAAGAGAAACCAATTATAAAAGATATAAAAGGAGTTCACCACCACTATATGATTTAAAATTCAATTATGAATATCTACTAACAACCTTGGGTAAATATCTTCTGGAAACATAAGCAATGAATTCAACAACCAAAAGATGATGACATCATCAAACACTAAAGACACAAGGAATCTACTTTACCAACAAATCAAAGAAAAATATTGTAACTTATCTTTAAATTATCATTGTCTCCCACAATGTAAAAGTTTAATCATATATTGGTTAGATTTTTAAATTTGAATCAACTTAGCCAAATATTTTCGTTGTTGAATAATTATTTAGCACAAAGGTTAAGACCATATTAACATTCATGGTCGATATGGTAGTTGTTGGAGGACAACGCCATAATGGTCGAGGTTCAAATGCTGGTAGATTAAAAAAAAAAAAAAGGTTAAGACTATAGGCATGAGGATAAAAATGTTATGTGAAATAAAAATAAAAAATCATCTGATTCAGATATCTAAATTAAAAATGTAGCCTTCCGAAGTGATTGGTGATTGGTATTCGTTTTTTTATTGTGATTAATACATTAATTCTGAGCGGAAAACGAGATTGTGCAACATAACACACCAATTATGTTACCCCTGGTAGCGAACTTAGTTCATTCAGTTTTTTCTGCAAAATTATGTCACGTGTCACGAAATAATTGGCTACCAAGTTCGCTATCAGTCGTACCAAATTAAACTTGGGACACGTGACAATCAATTTTTCTTGTGAAAGTGTACCACATGTCACGAAATTATTTAGCTACCAAATTTACTACCAATAATAACGAACTTCAACGCGTGACACTCTGGTAAAAAATGTTTACATTGGTAAAAAAATGTTCACATTGGTAAAAAAAATTGCCAAAAAGTTTGGTCACTTTTTCCGGGTTCAAGTTCTAAAACTGACTTCAGCACCATCGGAGCAAAGGTGTTGTTTTCCACCACCGCCACACTCTTCCATAGAAGGCATCGGGTTCTGGTTCCAGGAGTTCAATCATCGTTTGTTTACTCGAATCTTTTCCAAAGTTTCGTCGGAGAATGACCAGAAAAAGTGAAGGACCTGCGATCGAAATCGACCTCGGTACCACCTACTCCTGCGTCGGTGTGTGGCAGCATGACCACGTTGAGATCATCACTGCGGGTTGTCGAAGCACTGCCACACGGTGGACACGGGGGCCTCTATCGGCTGGATCACGACGGAGCAGCACTGGTTGGGCCCCACCATGTGCGCGTGGTGGCGGCTCGTGTCCGGGAAGCTTACTTTGGCGGGGGAGATCGCAAGACGGTTCATGCAGTTCGCTTGCGGCGGCGTTTGGGCCTTCTTGGGGCAGTTCACTCCATTTGCGGTGGCGCCGGCGGCGGTGTTCGTTCGATGGAGCTCTCTGAGCCAGTTGGACTCCAAGGTCAAAGTGGAATATGTTTGTGCCTCTAATCCACAATCAACTGGATCACATTTTGGTGCTACTCTATCTATTACTTTAGGTATTGTCTGGTTAAAGGTTTATTTTAGGATTGATGAAAAAGTATAAGTGGATATTGAAAAATATCACGTTTGGTTTAGGTTTTTTCAAAAAATACCAGGCAAATAGGATGGATGGGAAAATGACTTTTGTGTTGATTTTGGGATAAAATTCACTGTTACAGAGTACCACTTGAGATGTGGTATTGTGAGATAACTGGGGAAATGAAAAAACAGGTGCAAAGTTTCTCCGAAAGATTATATTTAAATAAATTTCCTTGGTAATATTTGGGTCAACCAAACAACTTTTTTTACATTTTCTTACCAAACTCACTTTCCAACCATTTCCCTATCAATTACATTTCTCTAGTAAAATTTTTTTTCTCCCGAACCAAACACTACCTTAGGGACATTTGGTTGAGGAAATTTTTTTGAAATAGTAGGGAAATGTAATAGATAGAGAAATGATTGGAAAGTGAGATAGGTAGAAAAATGTAAAAAAAAGTTGTTTGGTGAAGAAAAACTTTACTGAGAAAATTAGGTAACTTTTATGAAATTAACAGTGCATTAAAAGTGAGATAACCGGTTTTTCAAAAAATCTCACTTTCAAACTGGGTTTCTAAACAGTGCGGATCTATGTTTCTCATAAATCCATATAAATTGGATATATGAGATTTTGGTAAAAATATGTTGAAACAAATGTGGTGTTTCTAAAAGCCATACTTGAGAAACATAGATATCTCTTGAAAAGTTCCAAACCAAACACAACCTTACTGAAAGTAAAAAATGCCATGGTTTTGAGAAAAATAACTATACAAGGAAAGTAAAATGATAAAAAAAAGATATTATATTTTTTGCTGATGATTTTGGAAAAAATAACCATATAAAGAAGATAAAATAATAAAGAAAATATATTATATTTTTAAATTGAGTAAATAATGTACCGAGTCTTCGGTACTATTGAAGATATTTTCAATCAACTGACACCCCAGTTCGTGAATCGAGGTGGTGTTGAGGGAACAAAAGGGTGTGTGTATTTGTGGCTTCTGTAATTAAAACGTTATAATAACGTGTTATAAAAAACTAAGAGGAGAGACGAGGAAAAGACACCAAGACAAAAGAGTAGAAAGACAATGGGGTAAAATTCTTATTGTTATCGGAGAAGTATACGGTGACAACTAAGTAAACTGACTACCAATTAATTTCATCGTTAGATTGATTATGTGGATCTAACAGTTATATTTATTTTCATCTTTGTATGATTATGATTACCCAAATTTAAAGTGAAAGCATTAAATATGGGAAATCATAAATATACAAAAGTAAAAATAAATTTGGGAAATCATGACTATACAATGATGGAAATAAATATAACCGTTGAATTAATATAATCGATCTAACGGTAAGATTGATCGGTATTGAAAGTGTTAGATTAACAGGTCCATTTTGGACGGATTTTTCTTTTTTTCAAAAGTTATTTTTTTCAAAAATAAAATAAGTTCATTTGGATGTGTGTTTTTTTTTTAAAAAAAGCAAAAAATCACAAAAAGTCAAAAAAAAAAAATTATAAACTACAAATTTTAACTTCTACAAAAGGCAGAAATCAAAGGCAAATATTTTTTTAAAAAATTAAATAGCTTTAATTTTTATAAAAGATACTTTTAAAAGAAATACATAAAAGATAAAAACTAACTTTTTTTGAAAAGCAAAACAAATGAGTTCCCAGAGATTTCGTGTTAAAATTAAATTTGATCCGCATGGCAAATATGTATAACGGGTGGAAGTAATTCAAATCCTTAAACAATTTTTTAAAAAAATATAAGATCAAATATTTTTAAAAATTCCATTTTATATTTTTTTAACTAGTATCATAAATTCCAACGAATTTAACTAAAATTCCAATATTCTCTTATTTTTTAAAAAATATAAGATCAAATATTTTTAAAAATTCCATTTTATATTTTTTTAACTAGTATCATAAATTCCAACGAATTTAACTAAAATTCCAATATTCTCTTATTTTTTATTAAATAAGAGGAGAGGAGGACGAATGGACGATGCCGTTAATATTATTTAAAATGTAAAAATAATTGTAAATTTTTACTAAACATTGCATCATTACCACATAAATCTTAACAATTGAAATTGCAATAGTAATTGAAAATGATTGTAAATTTCCGACGAATTAGACTAGGAGTCAAATGAGAGCAAATAGAACAAACACCCTTTGATGGTATCAATACAGTCATATGAATTCTAATAAATGCATGAATAATCCGCAGTTCCTAAACGGTTTCAACATCAAAAACAACAAAAACTAGAACAATCATATAATAACCGATTCGAAATTGTAACCAAGCATCACCCATTGGTTCTATTCCCGATTCAAGAATATCAAAGCATTGATGTTCAATACAAATTTGAACATGCCGAAGTCAAATCCAAGGGGCTTTCTGTATTTCTCATTATTCTTCGGTTATCAGCTCCTGATTGGGACCAACTAGTGATTTGTTGTATTCCTCCAATTCCTTCTTGTATGCATCCATAGCTTCCGATGCTTTCCCATTCCATAATTGTCTATCTTCCTCACTCAGTTCCTATACAGACATATGAAAAGTGAGAATGATGTTTTAAGCAAAAATCAAAATCAAAATTTGAGAGAGAGAGAGAGAGAGAGAGGAAGCAATCAATACCTTCCACTTCAATGAAACAAGTGCATTCAGTGTGGAGGTACTGATTCCTGGTCGTTCTTCCTGCAAATTTTTCCTTGTTTCTTTGCTGCACGATATTAAATTTGACTTGTTACATTTCAGAACACTACAACACCCTCTTCAATTTCGTGTAACTTAATTAATTAAAATCACCTGAATACGAGGAATGAGGATGGAGGCCTCTTAGGCCTGTTTGGATCAGAATTCTTATCTTCCTTGTTTTGTTTCTTCTTCTGACGATTCATTTTTGTTTTCTGCAGGATGCTCAGGTTGATTAACCACAATGAAAAGTAAGGTGGGAAAACAGTTAGGAAGGAAAAGGACTAAATGAGAAAATAAAAAAAAATAAAAAAACCTTGATAATATTTTCAGTCTTCTCCTTCTTCTTCAGAAGTTGCAATGCTTCCTGTTTCTGAAGTTTCATATGCTCCTCCTCTTCCTTCATGAGATAGGCAGCGTCCTCATCTTTTTTCAGTTTATAAGCCTCCATTTCTAGGATATATTTCTCCTTGTTCTTCTTTGCCATCTGTGAGTTACAAAATAAGTACTTATTTAGTAAGAAATCAAGACACTAAAAGAGAATGGCATCATAATCAAATGATGGATGAGAAAAAAAGGGTTGCAAACCTCTTCATAGGGCCTCCTTTGTTCTTCTGTCATGTTTTTCCACTCTTCGCCTGTGACCTTGGAAACCTGAAAGACACGCATCCCATAAAATAAGTGTTCTTCTTCCAATCATGATTAATTAATGACTCAAGTTATCATAAACAAGAATGAGGCTCAATTACCTCTAAGACACTCTTGTTCTCTGCAAGAAGCGCTGCCCGTCTATCATTAGTGAACAAGAAATAAGCTGACATAGGGTGTTTTGGTTTCAATGGATCCTTTTCCTTCCTGTGAAAAATATAAGTTAAAAGCAAAACATCAATAACAAAGTTACGAAACAGTAACTCACACATCGTAGTTAAAAAGGAGTATAAATTACTTGTTTTTCTTGCTCTCTTTTTTTTCTGTCTCTTGTTTGAACTGGATATACTGTTCAAGCAATTCCATGGCAGTCTTCTGCTTCTGCTCCTCCTCCAAGAGCTTCATAGCCTCACTCTCACGTTTTTCTTTTGCAATTACCTGCAAATAAGCTTCTTTTTCAGCATGGTATTTCTCCTCATAAGGCTTCTTCTCTTCTGCAGAAACTGTCTTCCATTTAGCCCCCAACATGTTTGAAATGTCCTTAAATTCTGCCTCTGGGTTTGCTTTCTTAATCTGCATGCACCCCATCAATACGTATGAACACACGCAAGTCCCACTGAGTTTAAATTAAAAGGAGAATATAAGAATTCAATTATCCCAAAGGATTTCTTGATGTACCTCGTTCCATTGATCTTTGCACCATAAAATGTAAGGTGGAGAGGGCCTTTTTTTCACAGAGCAACCGTTCTTCTTCTTGTCCTTCTTTTCTTGTTCCTTGTCTTTCAGCACAGGCAAAATCTGTTCATTGTACAAGCATATACAAAAAGAGAAGCTACCGCATCAATAAAAAGACAACAGAAAGTGAAATAATAATAATAATAATTGTTGGAAAAGTGAAAGAAAAAATGATAAGAAACAAGATGAACTGAACTAACCATGGTGGGTTTGAACTCCTTCAACTTCTGCAATTTTTTCAACTCCGTCTGAAGCTTCTCCTGCTCCCGGCCACGACTTTCGAGCTCTTGCTCCCTCTGCTTCAAAACCTCGTCTTTGGCCTTCAAGAGTTCTTCAGTCTTCTCCCTCTCTAGGCGCAACTGCTGCATCTTTTCCTGCATCTCAAGCAACTCTTTCTCGAAAGATTGCTGTTTCTTTGAGGCGGCACGCCCCTTCTTTGGCTGAGAAAGGGTATCATTATCAGATGGGAGCGAAGTTGGTGTTGCAGAGGACTCAGAAACCTTCCCAGCTAAGATGTTAGCCTCGTTTGTTGATGGGTTTTTCTCCTTCAGGGCCCCCCTTCTGCCCCCCCTCGACCTCTTTGTAGGTACTTCAGCAACTGTGTCAGCCATCGATGGCACAAAAGAGAGAGAAAGAAAGATTTGTGTTTTTGAGAAATGAAATGAATCAAATCAGGACAGGGCAACGGTCGAGTAGAGAAGAGCAGGGTCTTTTATAGGAAGAGATTAGGTGCAACGGTCGGATTTTTCAAATTTGAAAGAGATTGAGATTAAAAAGGTGTGATGGTGGGAGGAGTGACTGTGCGGACCTTCTTTATTATTTGACCGTTTGTGCAAATGAAGGATGAGAATAACACAAACAATTATTTACCATATGTACAGTCTTATCCAAAGTATACACCAAATTACCATATTACCATTTACAGGGCAATTTTGAATTTTGAAGATCCATATGTCTGAATCCGCACAGATGAATGAACCATTAACGGCTCCGATAATGCATGGACACTTGCTCCTTGAATGTTTCGTAAAGGGGAAAAAAATTATATTTGGTTCTGAAAGGAATGGTTGTTAAGAGAAATAATACTGATTTCTTTTCGGAGAAAGGTTATTTTTATAAGGGATATATTTTTCTTATGTTGTAGGAAAAGAAATACCTCATGTTGTAGAAATAAAGGTATAAGTGGGACCCACATGTAAGAGAAGAGAGAAAAAAAAAGTGGTGGGACCCAACTCCTTTTTGTGTGTGTAGGAGAGATGTTTATCTCATGTAAAATGAGATAAACATAACCCTTTTTATAAACTATTTTTGTTTATAATATTTTATAATTATATCTTAACTATTGATTTTCATCAATCAACAGTTATTATTTATTGTGAATTAATAATTAATTAATGAATTTAATTTGTGAAAATAATAACCGTTGATTTCCATTGACAAAAATAACGATTAAGATATAATTGTAAAAAATTATAAACAAAAAAAAATTGTAAGTATAACTTTTATTTTTCTTTTATATATAAAATTAAGTAGCAGTCATTCAAAGATAAAGTAAATGCTAGGAATCTTTCATAAAAAAGAGAGAGTAAATGCTAGGAATAAAAAAGCTATAAATTAATAAAACTTTGCATGAATTTAGTATATTTATCCTTTTTTTTGTTTTAATTTCCACATCTTTGAATGTGGAGCTAACACAAGCACAAGGTACTTTAGGTGAATTTGAAAGCTGCAAACACAATTTGCCAACATAAAATTCCGCCATTTGAACCACACCTAATGGATAATTTAAATATTTATTAAATTTTGAGTAAATAAATACAGTATCTCTAACATGAAATCTAGCTGAATCAATATGTTTAGGATGTGTAACACTACTCATCATTCATATATGACGACTGATATCAGTAAGTAGACAGCAGCATCGGAAGATATAAAAAATCGAAAAGATCCAACAATAATTGCCCCAAATAACCTCGGATCCCCCCTAACAAAAAAATGAAAGCATATATGGGCGTGTACTTCCAACTCTCAATATCAAAATTAGTTTGTAAACTGATATTTAGAATCTTTTCTGCTACATTCAATTTGATTGCCTCCAATCTCCATTATACGTTTGAAGGAATATCAAGAATCATAGTATACAGAGAGTAACAATTCACCAGTATTCACAACTTCCCTGAGGGAACTGGAAATGGTATTTAACTGATGTCTTACCCATTGACAACCATCTCCATTATAATGTCATTCCAAGAATCTATTGGCCCAGGTAAGCACCAATGCAAACAATCTTTCTGAACTTTATCATTTGGGCCATTGGCAAATGGATGAAACTGTCTGTATGGACCAGGATGCCCGTCTGGTCTCAAAAGCGAAAGAGGTGCAACATCAAGAAGTTTTAAGTTCACTCCATTTCTTGAAGCTTCAGAAGCTGCCTTTGCAAACTCCTCTAATTCAATGTCACGAAGAATCTTGCTCAAATATTTCATTTCCATCTCACCTTCTTTAACTGGTGCTGTTCTATTGCAAGTTCCCCCACTAAACCACTCCCCATTTTCAAAATGATCGGGTGTGGATGTCCTGAAAAAAATCAAGCCTCTGTGATTAGAAGAAGCTATGAAGTTCATGACAAATTTCAAGGCTTCGCGATAGGCAAAGTCAAATCCCTTCTCCGTCAAGTTCCTTTTAGGACATTCGTGGCAGCCAATTATTGTGTCATTTTCATGGTAGATCGCAGATTTGAGAAACCATTTCCCAGTTGAAATAATAATGTAATCAAAGTTCAGGTACTGATCCTTCCACTTATTGTCCAGTTTATCAAGATATAGCTCAACTTCAGCACTTGAAATACCATTTATGTCTTCAAAAATAGCAGCTTCCACAAGGAAGGGTGACCAAATAACTGACATACTGAAGTTGTATGAGGGAAACAACCAACTTTTAGACTTATATTCCTCATCATGGTAGACCAAGGCAGCTTGTTCCACCTGAAGGACAAAATAGTAACAACCATATATTGGCCATCATAATTTCTAAAATATATTCTCCATAATGTTGTGAAAAGATTCTGTACCGGTGACTGTTAAATTTTATAAAAAAAAAAGAAAAGAAATCAACTGACAAACACAATCATATCATGAAATATAGAAAATAGAGAAAAGACATGTTGACTTGATTGGTGGTGCACGCATTCGCATCACTGAGGACAGTGCTAATGCACACATTTCACTGAAGTGCTTGAAAAGGAGTTAAGCTTATTCTCGTTTTCAATACTGGTACCATGATTTTTCACTTCTTACTACATGAGGCAGTCAGAAATTGCCAAACTACATGAAAAATTATGCTTCTCCTGTGCCTAACAATAAATTTGATTTATGATTAATTTCATAATCAAACATGCTTCAATTGACAGTCCAAACAGGTAGTCACAAAGTCCAGTTCTCATAAATTGTCAATATGCAGTCAATCAATTATAGAAAGTGAAATTACTACTGTATGAGAGATGTACATATACACCTAATGAAGACATAGAATGGTGAGGAAATGAGTTTAAAAAAGAACAAGAATAAGAAAGGGGAGGGAGGGAGATCACCCTGAGAACTAAAACTTATAAGTCACGAATTTAAAATAAGTGAATAATTCTGTGTTCAGAAAGTTAAAACAGAAGTCAGAAGAGACTGCAGACATTATGACTTTGTGCTGGAAGGTGGCTAATTACAAGTATATGGGCATGGACTTTTTTTAAAATATCTATTAATTAGCTCTAGCTTGTTCATGCCATTAGCCATCATACTCATTATCCTTTTTAACTCTGTTACATTGAGTTGAGAACTTTTCTACTTTTGCTAGTCCATTCTTTTTCTTTTTCTTTTTCTTTTTTTACGGCATCTTACTACAAGTATCTTTCTAGAACAAACTTTTTCACTGCAAACCCTTTGAATAGTCATTCCAAATGAAAGCTCATATCCGTTATCTATCAATTGACTATCAAATCTTGTAAACTAAAACGTTGCTATTCTCAATGACTCAAGAGTTTTTCAAATCCTATAGTTTCTCTTGTATCTAAATATCTATGCCTCAGTTGCATAAGCCTGTGCTAGATTCTGATGCAACTCAGACAAGCAGAGTTAAGAAATAAAAACAATGCGTTTACTTAATTCTCCACACTTTACATCATTGGCTGATGCCAATAATTACGTGATAAATATATAACTACTAAGTATTTAGGCCTATCCTATTAGAGCTTATTCAAGTAAGTGCAGCTAAAACAAAAACTTTCTCACACATGGCAAAAGATTCTTCAATTTTTGTTTAAACTTTAAAGTCAATAAACTTCCAAGATTTGGCATTGGAACTGCAAACAAGATCTGGTCCAATAAATAATCAGAAAACATATGCACAAAAGGCAGTTGTCTGATCCTCAGAAACATCCACACAAGATCAGGCAAAAGGGAAAACAACATTTGGGCCCAATGATTGGCTTTGTCCATTCTGTTTATTTGGCCAGTATAAGTTGTCATCACAGGAGTGGCAGAACTAAAACCTTGAGGTAAGTGGAGGCAAAAATTCAGTTACACTTTTATAAAACACGGGTAACAAAAATTTGTATATACAAAATGCAAGCATCAAGTCAGTTTCGAAATCTTAAAGTTGCTAAACTTTCCTACTGATTACTTTCTTCAACATGAAACCTCAGCTTCGGTTGCATGGTTATAATCAAAATTAATTAACAGATGAATTTTGAAATAGACAATGGGCATTTGACTGCAGTTTACTACAAGATGCATAGTTAAGGATTCTGAGGGTGAAAAATAACAAACTGTTCACACTTGCAACCTCAAGTCAGTAAGTAGAATCATTGCATCAAGTATTATTCAATCGCAAAGGTAAAATTCGATTTGACAATGGAAAGCACACACACACAGACACACCTTAGAAAGAATGCAGAGCAAGGACTGCACATGGTTGCGGGATATAGAATCACCAATGAGAGCCCACACTTTATTACGCATCATGTTGAGAAATCTCTGTGGATCAAACTGAGGCAACTCACAGTCTCTAGGAACCCACTTCCAATACAGAAAATCCGTGTCGGGCCTCCCATTTTTCAAGCAATTTTGATGAGCTTCGATGAGGTTGCAGCTTTCATTCGTATAAACCGGACCAAAAGGGTTTGGGACCCAATCCCCGTTAAAATAATCACATTTCTCTGCATTTTTTTAAAAATAAAAATAAAAACAAAGTGGTAACAATGTGTTTTCACATTCCTAAATATCAAAATCCAATCAATGTAATAACATAACTGTTGAACTTCATACGGTACAACCTATGATCAGAAACAAAAACCGCAAAATCATTCCTGGATTGCAGATCTAAAAGTGTGTGTTTGTTTGTAGGTAAAAGGTTAAATAAAAAATAATAAGAAGGCGACAGAGAGCAGAACGTGCTCACGACGCACTCACTTACCCGTGTCTGTCTGAGACACTTGATCTTCATGTTTTGGAACAGGTAGCTCTTGGGGAACTAGTTGTGAAACAGTTGGATTTTCGGGTTCGGTAGTTTTATCAGGAAAAGGGGATTCCAAAAGTGTGGAAATCTGGAGGGGCAGGGAATGATGAAAGAAGAGGAATCGTACTGCGAGACCAAAAAAGAAGAAGGTGAGGAGCAACTTGATGTACTTGTAGGGAAACTTGTGCTTCAAATTATCGATCCTCATTTCTTTGGCTCTTAACACACCTTCTTGTTTGCTTGGGTCTTTTTCAGCAAAGAAATCTAAGACTTAATCAACACACAAGAGAAGAGAGTAAACTCAACTAGTTCTTCCTGAACAAAAGATTCTCCACTTATTAAATACATGATATAATATAATCACGTTCTTGATTGATGGATATAAATTAAATAATTTCATATTTTAATTTATTTACTTTCTTCGTGTCCATAAACAAATTATAAACAGCTTGTGAAATATTCCTCTCTTTTTTATTTATTCTAACTTCAATGACAACTAATTATTGTTACAAAATGAAGTGGAATTCCCGTTTTATTTCTTTTCCCCCTTCTTTTCGTTTACATTGTTAAGTTTAGTAATTAATATAGAATTTCTCCATTCTTTGGCATAATACAATGTCACATTTTTTGGCATAATACAATGTCACATTAATGACAATGTTAATTATTAATCATTATTTAATAAGAAAATCACTTTATGAGGAATGTTATTGTTAATCCCTAATTAGAAAATTATTTAATAACACTACATTGTTACATATGGACTATGAAATATAAAATTCTTATATATATAATTACGGTATTAATTATTGAAATCACTTTATGAGGAATGTTATTGTAAATCCCTAATTAGAAAATTACTTTAAAAATAATTTTGTAACATTATATATTATTAAATATTAATTATCAAATATAAACAAAATATATAAATATATGATAAATATTTTAAGTTTTAACTTTAATCTATAAACAACATTTTAAAATATTAATATAAAACTATATAATAAGCGAAATTGACTTGACATTCATTAATAACAATGTTAATTATTAATCTTATTATAAATCTTTTAAATAAAAATTTGATTCAAACTTACACGCATTAAATATTTAGTTATTAAATTTAAAATTTACAGTAATATGCGAAAATTAAAATAACACAAACGACGTACCAACTAGCAAGTAAGGATACAGACTCTTTTACCAAAAAAAAAAGGATACAGACTCAATATCACAAAAAAAGAAGAAGAAAAAAAGTAAGTATACAGACTAGAAAAATACCCAAAAAAAAAAAAAAAAAAAAAAAAAAACAATAATAATGAGTTTGATTACTGAACTGTTCATTTTGAAATTGTTAAAAAACATAATTCTTATTTTCATGGAAAAACCGAAAAAGCAAGGATAAAATCATAAAAGAATTCCTCCTACATGGTAAGCGCACAGCTCCATCAATGCTCGTCATACCGACGAATAATTATTGACTAATAATGTACCAGATATCTTTTCCCCTCATTAAGTAAATATTTTACTTTTCTCAGTCTCACCCAACCTATGAATTATAAGAGCAATCATTTGTCATCCTAAAGTCTAAAGTCTAAACCATATGTCGGTAGGAATTTTATATAAGTGAAGTTCAAATGCAAATGACGGACTTTTATGTTGTTCTAAATCAATTATTCGCATATATGTTTTAAAATAAAATTTCAAAAACCATTACCGTTATAAAATTAACATGTTAAAAAAAAAATTATTCTATCTACTTTTTTTTCATACCTACTACTCTCTAACATCATTAGATTAAAATTTTGAGAGGAAAGAAAATCACAAAGATTAGTTGCGATTCTAATGTAATGTAACGATGTTGAAAAAAATGATCGTTAAAATGTAAAGTTTTATTTAAATCTTCCACTTCTGAATATTTAATTATACTGACCGTTAGTACTATATGTATGTTAACAAATCAGCTCAAGACGGAAATTTTACACTAATCACCTTCAATAAGAAAATGCATTGTCGTTTAGATAGACAAGTATGACTCCTTTAAAGTGTGGATTGCACTAAATAAATAATTAAAACATTATAATGGGAATGAATTATATCATGTGTGATTTTAATGATTAGGTCATGTGAAAAAAAAATTAATTATTGATAAATAAATCAATTATTTTTTTTCTCACACTTTTTATAATAATTGTTTTCTTTCATCTTCTATTACCGAAGAATAAGTTTTAATAATTTCATAATTTGTGTGTATATATATATATATATATATATATATATATATATATATGATCATGATCATTTTACACCAGTGTAAGTTATACTCTCAATCTTGTCTGTTGATCCCCTTTATATCTAAGGGCTCTAATTTTTTAGTAATGTAAGTCATTGGATACAAGTGGATCAATGCTCAAGATTGAGTATAAGACTTTTAACTCTTACACCGGTGTAAGAATATCCTGCCCCATATATATATATATATATATATATATATATATATATATATAGGTAGGTAGGATCCTTTAACACCGGTGTTAAATTTGAAATTTGACACCTCATCTGAGAGCCATTAGATCTCAAAAGATCAACGACTCTGATTTGTAAGCATGCTACACCATTGATCTTTTTTTATCTAAGGGCTCTCAGATGAGATGTCAAATTTGAAATTTGACACTGGTGTCAAATGATCCTACCTCTATATATATATATATATATATATATATATATATATATATATATATATATATATATATATATATATATATATATATATATATATATATATATATATATACATATATATATTATCACAATCATGGGTGTTAATTGAAAAATTAAGAATTATAACTTCATTTTTTTCTTATAAATGTACCTCTCGTTTTAGAGGATACAAATTCTAAATAGACATAGGTTGCAATAGAATAATAATTTATTATATCTGGTATGATATTTTATAAAATAATTCCCTTCCATATTATTTTTGGGAATGATTTTTAAACTCTGCATTATTTTCATTCTTACGAGAAAGATAGATTTGCAGGGGGCTTTTTGACCCTTATAACCATTTTTTAATAATTAATTACTAAATTGACCTTGATTATAAATTATTTCAAAAATTTAACCTCCCCAACAAACATAACACCAATCTGTCCTTGTTTGACCGTTGACGGTAAGAACCCGCACCGTTAATTAAGGTATATAATTAATTAATTATGCAAAATTAGGAAATGATTCCATAATTGACCCTAATAATTATTTACGAGGCTTAATAATCGTAATACGTGATTAAGAATGCTGAAAGTCATTTTTCGGAAGAAAAGTGCGGATACCGGTTCTGCTAGTCGGTATAAATGCGTGCCGAAAAAGTATCCCAGAAAATTAATGTAAGTGCATGATAATTACTAGAATAATATGTAGAACTTGTAAAACAAGTTTCAAGTCCAGATAATGAGAACTGTTGCTGCAAACCGGTACTGGCTTGGAAAAGCGCGTACCGGAAAAGTGCTCAGAAAATTATAAGAAAAATATGATAAATCTTAGAAAATTATGTAGTTTCATAATCCAAAGTTTGGGATTAAAATGATAAGCTTAGCAATTAAAGTTAACACTGTGTGTTTAAGTGGCTTGGGCTATATATACCCTTTGTAAGGGCACAAAACCCTAGAAAACAGTTTCTCTACGTGAGTGTGTGAGGGTGGCTGATCAGCTTGGCTGACTTGTGGGGTTTCTTCTCCATTTTGGGTCCAAGACACTTCCTTTCTTGATTTTTCTTCACACTTTCACTTGGGATACACTTGGTGAGGGTGAGAGCTAGCCTTGGGACTCTATTGCTGGTCTTTTCTGAGTTGAGAGAGCTGCTGTGTGTGAGGTTTTGAGGTTGACTTGGGTTGGTTGTGTGTGGAAGCCTTTGTTTTGGCATTGTGAGGTCCAAGAAGCTTCCTTTGTGTTGAAAGGTCCAAGCTTGTTGATCCATTTTGGTGCACCTTGTTGAGTCAGTCTTGAGGGGCTGATTGTGAGCTCCAAAGAGCAGCCTCTTCTTCTGTTTTGGCCTTTGGTATGCATGATTAGGTGTTTAAAATCGGTAAAAAGGGAACCTTTTTGGGATATCTTCACGAAAATGCAGAAACTGCATTCTGTCGTGAGATATCCGGATATTTGTCGAACTGATATCCGAATATTGGATATCCGGATACGTGGTTTTGGGATATCCGGATATTAGATATCTGGATATGTGAATCTGTATATTCGGATATTGCATATCCGGATATGGACAGCGAGATATCCGGATATTCTGGGATTTCGCAGAACAGCAGCTGTGTTGTGTGTACAGTAGGCTATTGGGGGTTTATGGACCCTAGTTTGATGAAGTTGAACTTCTGTATTTAATGGATTAAGCCAGAATCATGGGATTAAGGGCTTGTGGCTTTGTTAGAAGCTTTAAGACTTGAAAACGTAATGAAAAGGCGTTGTCTTAATATTGTATGCTTGTGGTGCATGTTGTTGATGTATTGTTGGTCCATAACAGATTGTGAATCTGCTGTGTTTGGACTTTGAGCTGTGGACTCTTGGCTTTTGGAGTTAGCTTGCAAGGTAAGCTTTCGTGTCCTCGGTTTAGCCATATTGTGGTTCCACCATGTCTCATGGGGGTATGGTTTATGCATGCTGTGTACATGCTTTTGAATATTTGATATGTTGATTGAACTTTACATGTAATGGCTTTTAATATGCATGTGTTGTTTCATCTTGACGGGAAGCCTGAATATGTAGCGCCATACAAGACGGTGTACCGGGGTGAATGCAAGTGGTACTTGCACGGTGTGTAGGTGATAGACGTATACCTGCACTGTCTCTGGCCAGTAGATTAGTATTGACACACATGGCATGATTATCTGCTGCATTGCATTGTTTTTGAAATGATAAATAATAAACTGTTTTGAACTTATATTGCACATGTAAGTGAGCTTGGGGTGGAAGATCCTTGAGGACTCACTGACTTACTGAGATTTCTAGATTTGAGATCTTACCCCACGTTTGGGGAATGCTTATTTCAGGATCAGGTAGTATGGGTACTGATGCCTCAGGCGGCAGGAGGCCGGAACTTAGCTGATTATGTTTTACTGCTTTATATTAGCATGACTGGATTTGGGATGCTGTTTATGTTTTCCGCTATTTATGATATGTTGTTGTTGAGACTGATGTTGGGCATGTTGCCTTATTTGAGTGAGCATGGGGATTTTCCATGACACTTTCTGTTAGTACTTTTAGTTTGGAGTTGTATAAACTGGTCCGGTCTGCATTGTTGTAGTTTCGTGACTAGAGCCACACTTATATCATCTATGTTATGAGGTATTTCGGTTAGCTGTTTTATCGCAATTACATACAGGCGATGTTTTAATAAATTGATTATTAAGCAAGTTGGTAATGTTAATGGCATTATAATTGAAAAGAAAAAGTAATTCCCCATTTTAATTAAGCACAGCTTAATACGATATGATGATAACATTACCGGATATATACGGGGTGTTACATTGACCACCAAGTCTACCCGAGTACACCCCTCCCTACCCGGGTATTTTTTGAAATTTTTTGCCTACCCGAGTAAGGAGGGATGTACCCGGTTATAGTTCTTGAATCTGAAAAAATGGTTGAATTATTTACCCGGGTAAGGAGGAGTGTACCCGGGTAAATCTTTACCATAAACCCCATCTGTGAAGAAAGCGCATTTACGTTATCACCATCTGTGACAGAGATGATGGATTTTTGCACGCGGTTGCTGCCGAATCGTCTCATCTTCTTGATTGAAGCTTTGGAGGTTCTATCATCAGCGCAATAAAACACACCCTACTCCTCAAAAGCATAATACTCTCCATTACTTTCTGTATACCCCGGAGCTCTACTCAATTCGAAGGACTTGGAAGAAACAGTGCTAAGAGTGTTTCCCATGTGATCTTTCTTTGTGCGTAACTGGGTTCACATAATAAATGAGGACAGCTTCTGTAAATTTATGTAAAAAAAAAAAAAAAGAGGAGGACTCATTCTCTATTCATGATGCATCTTCATTGAACAATAGTAGCGTTCTTCTTCCGCGACATAGAAAATGTGATATCCCATCAAAAAAATTCTGATTTCAATGGAACTATTTCTTTATTATTTCATCCACTCATATCGCATATATACTTTGCTACTTTATTCTTTTTGTGTGATTTGTCATTGGCCTTACGTCGCGGATTTTATTCTTAGTGCGTAATTTATTTATTTTTTTGGGTTGTTTTTGAATTTTTACACCATCTTTGTTACATGGGATATTACAGAGGAAAATAGAAATCCTGTGTTAAAGACTTATACCCCAACAGAACATCAAAGCATCAAACATGATCTATCGTATTGCAGAAATCCTGTGTTAAATACTGAAATTTCAGAGATTTATCCGAGTACACCCCTCCTTATCCGGGTAAATAATTCAACCATTTTTTCAGATTCAAGAACTATATCCGGGTACACTCCTCCTTACCCGGGTAGGCAAAAAATTTCAAAAAATACCCAGATAAGGAGGGGAGTACCTGGGTAGGCTTGGTGGTCAACGGTCAAACAGGGGCAGATTGGTGTTATGTTTGTTGAGGAGGTTAAATTTTTAAAATAGTTTATAATCAAGGTCAATTTGGTAATTAATTATTAAAAAAAGGTTATAAGGGTCAAAAAGCCCTGTTAGGCAGGAAAAATATTTTTGACTTGCGAAATAGTTAAAGAAGTAAGATATTTATACTACTAATTGTTGTACTATCATTTCACTACCATTTTAATTAGCATTGAACTCAAGAGTTATTTTTTTTTCTCTCTCTTCATTTAATTTCTTTTCTAATCCAATGATAATTAAAATAGTAATAGAATGATAGTAAAAAAAATTGATTGTATGAATTTCCTAATATTTAAATATCCACCATTTTATTGTTACGTCATCAAACAATCACCGTCACATAGTTGTTGGTGATGACTATCGACCATTGTCTGCCATCAGTGAAATTTTGCTACCCTTTATAAATGGCTAGTGAGTTCTGCCATCGCCATCAAGTTACTCAAATTAATCCGAGCATTCCTAATCACTAAATCACTACCGAAAGTTGTAATCATTTAAACAATGCTTTGATCAACTAAATATGATAATTAACATGTTGAATAATATCATTTCTGGAAAACACACTTAATTGAAATACAAAATCCATTGGGTACCAAAAATTGGGGGTGCAAGTTTTGTAGGGCGCTGGCAGGAGCAACGGGGTGGAAAGATGTGTAGGATTTTATTTTCAGGGTTGATTGCGACAGGATACCAAATTTTCATGTTTTATTTTTGTGTTATTGCAATTCAAACTATTCAAACTAAGACACGCCATATAAAATTTAAACATGCATAGGCAGACTAGCCTTCCAACGAACTTTAATTGCAATTCACCATTGTAAATCTCTCCTTAGTAAGATCTAATGATAAATTTGATATTCAGTTGAAAGTGCAAAGGAGGAGACAGCCAGCCTTTGCTTTGTAAAAAGCACTAAAGATGCGAAAGAATTTAAACGGACATTTGATAGTGGAGACTTATTTATCAAAATGTAAACATGTTGAGCAACAAAAAAATTAAAAAAAAAAAAAACTCTTTATTCAATTCAAATTCAAATTCAAAGTCAAAGAGAAGAACAAAACCAATTCTATACGATGCTCCTGGATACAGAATGAATTATCAACAAGCATATGTTTGAGAAAAAAAAAAATCAAATCAAATGAAATGAAAAAAGAGAGAGCTAATTATGACTTGAATAACGAGAACATACCTAACTGGACAAGCTGCAGAAAAAATAATCATGATTTAGGCAGCTCTCTGGCCTCTGCGAGTCTTTAATAGAATGTCCTTGAGATAGTCATAACGATCACGGTGATAATCAATCCACAAACACAGCTGCCGGATGGCCTCCCTCTTCTCCTCCCCCAAGAGCAACACACCGTCCTCTTTCTCTTTCATCATTTTCTCTAGTTCTCCAACTGTCTTCTTAAGTTGAACTACAGTTGTTGTCAGATTCATCTTTTCTGATTCCCCCTTGGTTACCTTTGCCTCTAGCTTCTCAACCATCTCCCTCAAAGCCATTTCCTGTTCGTTTTTATCCCGCAGCTGCTCCAACAAATGGTGTTTGTCTTTGTTTGACTGCTCTTTTCCCCTATTCATCTCCCTGACACAATTCTTTGCAACCAGAAGCTCGTTTGAGATGTTTGAGATACGGTTCTCATAATTTTTGCAGTCATCAGAAAATTTCCAGCTTACAGTTTCTATGCCAGCCATAACACTGTTCGCACACTCTTTAATATTAGTGGTAATTTCATGAAGAGCTTCATTGTTAGCAGCAATTATTGCTGACAAAGTTGCAATCCTGTCTTGAAGTGCTCTCTGATCATGCTGAAACTTTTCTTCCGTCTTTCTAAAACTCTCTTCCTTCTCACTTAGCAATTGCTCTGTGACCCGGAGCTTCTGGTTTGACAGACGAAGCTTAACCTCAAGCATCCGGACATTCTCAAGCGAAGTACTGATTTCATCTTCTTTCTCTTCTAGGTCTCTTTTCAGGTCTTCTACCATCTGATCTTTCAATTCAATGCCTTCACGAAACTCCTCTGCCATTTCTTCAATCTTCTTCTCTGCAACTTCAAGTTTGACCTTGCATTCCTTAAACCAACTATCAATTTGTTTATATTCTTCATTCAACTTCTGATATGCATCTTCTCGTTCTTCCAATTTTCTCTGAAGATCCACAGTTTTGCTTGCTAATTCATTCTTTTCATTCTCTACCATTAGAAGGCTTTGTGCATGTTCTTCTCTTAATTTTTCACAGTGGAGATCCAATTCTTCTTTCGTTTTCTGCAAGGAAAGCAAGTCTTCTTGCAGGTTGTTAACTTGGGCTGTGAAGGCAATTATTTGCCCTGAAGCCTCATTTTCTTTTTCGTGAAGCTTTTCCTGCAAAGTAGATAACTCAGCCTCTTTCTCTGCTAATGTTTTCTCCAGCACAGTAATTGTTCCCTTCAATTCCAAATTTTCCTCTCTCAGCTCACTGTTCGCATGGTCTCTAGCTCTTATTTGCTCTTCAACTTCACTCTTCTGGCTGTGCATGGAGTCCACCTCCAACTTCAGCCTTTCACACTGCTGTGCTAATTCCTCTTTCTCATTCTGCAGGGAAACCAAATCATTTTGAAGATTGTTGATTTGCTCACTGAAGGCCATTATTTGAGCAGAACCCTCTTCCTCTGCCTTAATAAGTTTATCCTGGAGAACCGAGATCTCAGATTGATTCTCTGCTGATCTTTTCTCCAGTTCTTCTATCTTGTCATTTAGCTCCAACTTCTCCTGTCTCAAATGACTGATCTCATGGCTGTTAGCCCTTATTTTCTCTTCATCTTCATTCCTTTTGTTCTTTATATTGTTCATCTCTAATTCCAGATTCTTTATCTGTATGCTTAAATTTTCTGTGCCTTCCAAAAGTCTCTCTTGTTCCACGGTTTTTCTGTCAACCTCCTCTTTCAGGGTTTGCATTTGAATCACATACTCTGAATTTTCTCGAACTTTTTCCACAAACTGAACTTCCAAGTCAGATTTTTGGTGTTGTAGGGACTCCACTTCCTGCTGCAACACATTCACCTCATCTGTAATACTTTTGACTTGAGTTGATGCCTCGTTACCCTTAAAAATTATCTGCTCTTCCAGTTCATTTTTCTGAGCATGTAATGTACCGATATCAGTCAGCAGATTGTTTATCTGAGATGTCAAATCTGCTATTTTAGAAGATGACTCATTCTCAGTATCTTCGAGTTTCCTCTTGATAGCAGATAGTTCCTCTTCCCTTTCTTTGGACTTCATTTCAAGTTCTGAAATTTGGTTTTGTAGCCTTAAATTGTGCTCTCCCAGTTCCCTTGCTTCAGTGGTGCTGCTCTTAATTTGCTCTTCCATATCTTTCTTCTGGTTTTGCAGTGATTCTAATTCCAGTTTCAGTTTTGCGATTTGTGCCTCTAGTTCCCTGATTTGATTTGAGGATTCATTCTGATACCCTTCAAGCATCTGAGTGAAGCTTGAAACTTCCCTTTCTCTCTCATCAAGTTTCTCCTTTAACTGACTCAATTCAGCTACAAATTCTTTTATACTGTTTTGAGCCACCAGCTGAACCTCATCTAAAGCCTGTGAAAGTTTCACTTTTAAAGATTCATTTTCTTCCTCAGTGACTTTCCCATTGTGGCCCATATTTGTCATTTGCTGTTCTGCATGTTCCAACTGCTGCTTTAGAATGGAAATTTCCCCTGTAACTGCTTCAAATTCTTTCACAATTTCTAATTTCTCATCTTTCAGTTGATCAACAAGGGTTCTCAGGTCATTCGTAATCTTTTTTTCCTCATCAATCTGTTGGAGAGCAGTCTCTTTTTCTAAGGTCAAACTATCTTTTTCTGTCTTCAAGTCTTCCAATCTTTGACTCAGTTCAGCTTCTATCTTACTCAGTTCACCTTTTAAAGATTCATTTTCTTCCTCAGTGACTTTCAGATTGTGGCCCATATTTGTCATTTGCTGTTCTGCATGTTCCAACTGCGGCTTTAGAATGGAAATTTCCCTTGTAACTGCTTCTAATTCTTTCACAATTTCTAATTTCTCATCTTTCAGTTGATCAACAAGGGTTCTCAGGCCATTCGTAATCTTTTTTTCCTCATCAATCTGTTGGAGAGTAGTCTCTTTTTCTAAGGTCAAACTATCTTTTTCTGTCTTCAAGTCTTCCAATCTTTGACTCAGTTCAGCTTCTATCTTACCAGTAATGTCCAGTTGCTTATTTAGTTCAGCATTCTCAACCAAAAGTTTTGATCTTTGATTACCTAATGCTTCAGCATCAGTTTTCAAATCAATGATAATTTTGTCTGCTTCTTCTATCTTGCTCAATGCTGCAAGATATTTTGAATTTAAATCCTCCTCCTCTTCATGCGTAATTTTTAACTTCTGGTTCAATTCAGCAACTTCCGCATGCGCCATTTCAAGTTCTTGCTTTAAGCCATCAATTATCTTTTGAAATTCATTTTCCAGTTGTCCATTTTTGCTGTCTTTGTCCTTTGAAGAATAATCCGAATCTGAGTCTGAGTCTGAGGAAGAACTCCCTTTTTCTCGCTTGCCGTTGATCTCTTTCCTTAACTCGCCAGTTAGATGATCATACCGTGCATAGAGTGATTTGTATTGATTGTGGAAATCCTCAATCAGCTCAACAAGTGGTTCCTTCTTAGAAAGACCTCCTGGGTTACCATCATCTTCAAGGTTGTCATCTTTAATAAGTTTCAATATCCTTTTCACTTTGTCTTCAATTTCTGTAGGAAAAGTAGCAAAACTCCAAATCATTTATTTCATCTAAACAGATTGCAAAGTGAAAGTACATAATATTCCATTGATACCATCATTACAAGAGAATAATATATATATATATATATATATATATAAAAGTTAGTGAACAAAATTAAACCATAAAAAGAAGAATCCTATAGAATAAGATACTACAATATTTACAAATCATTAGCACGATATTTATAAACACAACATGCATGATTTTTTTATATTAATTTATGCACATTACACCCACAATACTCGATAATATAATCATTTTAAGATGATATAGATAAATCATATCAAATAATTCATCATCATTTCTGTTATATTATATATCAGCTATCATCTTGGTGAGTGCAATCTTGGATAGAGATTTTACCAGTTTTAGCTTCCTGGAGCGGCTCTTCTTTATCAAGGTCAATATGACTTCCAAACAAAGACTTTATAGACTCACTGAAGCGATGCTTCACCATCTTCTCTAAAGATGTTCAACTTCTTAGCAGTATCGAGTTAATAGTATCTGTTCGCCATATAAATTCCAGAGCGGCTGAAAATTTAAACACAATGCTTTGATATTTGAGCACTGAGATGCATACAATTTCCAACATAAACAACACAAATCTAACTACTTTTTGTGTAATCAAAATTTTATTTATACTTATCAAACTTCACAATATATATATATATATATATATATATATATATATATATATATATAGTAGAACAAATGCAAAATGTCAGTAGAAAAATATGGTTTATTATTGTTGTAATAACAGAAAGATTAAATGATTTTTTTGACTTTTGTAACACACGAGTGGCATCCATGGCCAGTCTTTCAGCATCAATGCTTTGCCATAAAGATTTTTTAGTTCATATAATTTCTGTCACCACAAGTTGGTGGGGCGCAATACTAGATACGCCAACAATAATATTTTAAGCTAAATATTTTGATATGATATCGTAGTCGAACTATGTTGCAGAATATTGAACGGAAACGCTTGTCACAGAGAAAATAAAATTCTTTAAATATTGGGAAAGATTGTTCAAGTATATGGAGTTCATTCAAACAAGCAAGAAGCAACTAGTAATATTTCATAGAACTCAGATCAATCCAGCGCCAAAATCAACTTTCCTTTCCACAAGCTCAGGGATGTCTATGACCTCATGCTTTAGTGGTTTTATTTCACTTTCTGTAAGATCGGAATTGGGGTTTAGTTATGGATTATGGGATTAAGTGGGGCATAATCTAGAAAAACGTACAAAGAAAAGGTGAGTGTGTAATTATTTGGGTCCTCCATTCACTTTCAAGAAAATAGACCCAATTGCCATCATTACTGAACCAAAATTTCATTGGCTCATCTTCTCAGAGTATGGTCCTAAACTCCTAACATAGTGTGATAGTAATTAACGTACCACTAGCTGAATATTTTACGCTATTAGGATTTAATACAAATTCAATTTTTGAGAATGGACTATAATCAAAATGAGATTAGATAATTAACTTTAAAAAAGTTTTTTTTTTTCAAAGAGTGAGAAAGAAACAGAGGCACTAGTATGCACCAAGAACTATTTGGCGCCACCTCAACAACTTCGGGAATCTTCCCAGAAGCTGATTGGGATTCAAATGAGACAGCTCCCTAAATAAATAAGATTTTTCTTTTTTTCTTTTTTGATTTTCAAATTAATGGTGACAATTTTTTTTATTTAAAAAAAAAAAACCTTTGTAATTGTAAGGAAAGAAAAATGGGGAAGACAGATAACAATCACTAAACTTGATGTTCAAGATTCTATAACTGTAACGAAATTTGCAAATCCGATTACTCACCTGAGATATGGTTTTAGTTTTCCTTCGCCTCTTCTCTTTGGAATCTGTTAAGCTCCAAAAACAATATCGCAGTTGCCTGTAAAGAAAGAAAAAAAAGATTATGAAAGACACAGCAAATTCAAGGCAATAGTTTAGTGACTTAATCTAAGCTATTTTATTATATTTTCCCCCTTAAAATCCATAGAATAGTAAAGACCAGAATCCACAAAAATCGTATTCATACACACGACATAGGTAGCGCAACAACAGATTCGGATTAAGGATTAGATACGAGACAAGCTTCAAATCATAACCATGTGCAACAGCTGGGAATACAAAGGACAATCAAAAAAAGAAACCAAGAAGTAAATTGAACCATGCTTGATTTCATTATCAAAGCAAACGAAGTTGATCTGATAGAAACCAGAAGTTGAAACGATTCAAGAAAACCGAAGAGCTTCGACTAAGAGGCTCGAGAATTGAACTCAAACCAAACGCAAGAAAAAAAAATAAAAAAAAATTCTGAATTAACGAAATCCACTGTTACCTACCTGTGAAACTTGAAAGGAAGATCGTAGAGGTGGAAACAAAGGATCGAAACTTGGAGAAAATCGAAAAGAAGGAAGAAAGTTAGATAGCACTTATAGAAGTAGCTCCAGTTACTGCCAGAGAGACACAGTGCCTGAATTCAAGTTTTAAAAATAAAATAAAAAAAATAATATAAAAAAAACTTTAATAATAATGATCTAAAGAGACGCCAACACTTTGCACCTTCAAATTTCACGAAATGGAATCTTTGGATTGCTCTTCAGACGTTTGCCCCCTCTTTTCTCAATTTACTACCATAATGCCACCACTGACTTTCTGTCTCGTATTTTCTCGCGCATGGACCCTCTGACGGTGGACAAGTCCATTATTATTACTATTATTATTTTTACTGGATGCGAGAATTTATTCAAATTGAAATGAGATAAATTTTAGCAAAAGTAGCAATGTTTATAAATTAATCACATACTAATGTCTAATAACGCGACCATTTTTTAATTTATTTTGTTTGTACATATTCATTCATTAACTTAAATTTTATTGTTTTAAGTTAGTGATTTATGTGTTACACAATACAAGAAGTTAGTAAATAAATTAATGTAATATATAACCAATTTTTAAATTAATATTGTCACACATAAATTTATATAAAATTTACTCTCTTTTTTTGGTAAACATATAAAATTTAATTTAAATATAATAAGTAGTTTGAAAATGTACACAAAATATCCATAACCTTTATTCCTCTCTTACCAAGTATTACCCTAAACTTTAAACCTATTTTCATTGATCTTTAAACTTAAGTATTCCCTTTCTTTCTAAAATAATTTTCACTCTATACATTTTAATTTATTTTGATTCATTTATTATATAGAAAATTAAAAAAGTATTATTTATTTTTTCAACTTTATTCTTATCTTTTTAATATATATATATATATATATATATATATATATATATATATATATATTGAGTGAAATAAGAGAACATTAGTAAAATAAAAAGATAATATAATCAAATAAATTTAAGTTTATTTAAAATGAAGAGTATATTCTTAATGTTTGTGAAAAACTTTAAAATGACAATTAATTTAAAATGAAAAAGGAATATGCCAATAGATCATTTTGTTTAGATGTTGTTAAATGACTAACAGTAGAACAATCCTAGTCTTTTACCAAAAATAAAAAATAAAAAAATCTCAACCTTCAAACCTATATGGATACTTGACTATTTTTTATTAAAAAAATTATTTATCTAATATTTTAAACATCTTACAAGAAAAAAAATGTTAATAAAACCTGGTCTTCTTCGTAAACAATAATTTCACTTTGAACTTTCCAAAACCTCTGCTACTAAAAAAAATTACCCATTTATATCATTTTAGTTTCTCCAAACATTGTGAGGGGAGTAGTTGCATTCTACTACCCACCCCACTAGTAAATATTGTATCATAGATAGGTTTCACCATAGAGTTGAGGAACGCATTCTCATCGGAAATCGAAGGCTCAAAGGCATGGACTACCTGGTCTCTTCGTTTATGCAATCCTCCAAAATCCTATTGAACTCTGTTGCCTTAAGTGTTGGAATGTACTTGTTGAAATATTACTTAAAGTTCTATGATTAATTGGAACAAATTTATAAGGACACTTTGCAAAGGTGACAAATTCATTTAATAGCAGTATAGCACCATTATTTCCATTAACAGTTTTATAATAACATGTACCCTGATATTTTTAATAAAGATATGATAAAGGATCCAAATTCATCATAAATAGAAAATTAAAATATTGTTTCACAACTAACCATTTAAAAATATCTTAAAAGAAGTACCTGTTGAAATGTTACCTAAAGTTTTATAGGATCAATTTAAACAAATTTATTTAAGTAATACGTTATAACATTGAGAAAATTTAGAGATACTCCATGCAAAATATTCTCTAAACACTGTTAGTAAAATTCAGGTATGATTTTTCACTACAATGTTATTCTTAGTTTTTCACCTGACTTAAGTTTTTTTATTTAATTTGGAAATATCAAAATGCAAAGAAAAATATTTAAGTAGAAACTAAACTAATTACTATGATAAGATCTAAATATATACCACTTCGATGATGTGTAAATATCATATAAATTTTATTTTTGGTCCACATAATTTGCACTCTGTGTTTGTGATGTTAATTTTTTTTTAGAAAAAAGTCTTTTTATGTTACTTTTAAGCTAAATATAATTGTAAATTAAGAATGTCCCTTGTCTCTCATAAAATAGAATATCATTTTCTTGGACAAAACATCGTAATTAAAAAATGTTGACACAACAGAATTAAAAAAATATCATTAGGCACACAATTGTTGGACAGGGGCACGATACCATGAGATCCCGCTTTTAGCATGTTAAGGATGATCTGGCTCCAGTTGCGGCACGTAATCGCAGTTGTAGCAGAGCCTTTCATGTTCTGTAAGGCTGCTATACCTCCTGCTTCCAATAACAAGTCACATGACCAATTATTGGTGCCTTTCGTAGATTTGTTATTTTCTTGGAATCCTAACCAAACTGCCACGTTTTTTTTTTTCAATTTTTTACCAATTTGCCATCTAATAATATTTTTTTATCAAATTGTCACGCGTTAAGTTTGTTATGACTGGTAACGAATTTGATAGCCAATAATTTCATGACATGTGGAACACTTTCGAAGAAAAAACTAACTGTCACGTGTCCAAGTTCGATACAACAGTAGCGAATTTACTAGTCAATGATTTCATAACACGTGACATATTTTCGCAAAAAAAAAAAAATGACTGAACTAAGGGTAGGAAACTTAGTTTGCTATGGGCACAATTAGGAGTGTAAATGGGCTGGGTTAGTGTAACGCCCGACCGCTTCAAGAATCAATGACTATCTCCACATACTAACACGAGACTTTTCAGTGTGCTTTTTTCTCACTCGCACACTTCCCGGGAAAACTTTTCAGGAGGTCACCCATCCCAGAATTACTTCAAGTCAAGCACGCTTAATCCTGGCTACCGAAAAGCAGATGCATCTTGTTAGCATAAATAGTACCAATTAATTCTTATAAGCTATTCCAAACTGTGCAGTCTTATACTTGCACAGTCTTTGAAATCCCTCTCTTTCGGGTGTCGATTCGATTCATTCATGCATGTAACCCCCCGCTGGAAGTCTGTTAGGAACCGCTCCTTGTCCGTGCCTCTTTACACCGGCGATCACTCCCCGCCCTCGTCAGCGCTCGGGATGTTACATGCCCACCAGCTTCCGCCTGATTCGTCCTCGAACCACACCGTACTGGATGAGAGGCCCTGCTATGATACCACTTGTAACGACCGATCGCTTCAAGAATCAATGACTATCCCCACATACTAACACGAGACTTTTCAGTGTGCTTTTTTCTCACTCGCACACTTCCCGGTAAAACTTCCCAAGAGGTCACCCATCCTAGAATTGCTCCAAGTCAAGCACGCTTAATTGTGGAGTTCTTCCGATCAGGGCTACCGAAAAGCAGATGCATCTTGTTAGTATAGGTAGTACCAATTAATTCTTATAAGTTATCCCAAACTGTGCAGTCTTATACCTGCACAGCCTTTGGAATCTCTCTCTTTCGGGTGTCAATTTGATTCATTCATGCATGTAACCCCCCGCTGGAAATCTGTCAGGAACCGCTCCTTGTCTGTGCCTCTCTTTGCACCGGCGATCACTCCCTGCCCTCGTGAGCGCTCAGGATGTTATAGTTAGGCTAGACTTTGGTTTAAATAGGCTAAGCCTGTGTAAAAACATATTGGGTATGGCCTGCTTATTAGCCTGTGTAGGCTCCAAATTACAAGTCTGGCCTGACTTATATTCAAAAAATAAAAATCTTGACCTAGGCATGTTAGCATGTTTAAGCCTATTAAACATTCAACAATTAAATGAATAACTAAAATAATATTATTTTATTAATCAAAATTATTAAATAATAACTTTATTTATTATATTTTAAATAAATAATATGATATAGGCAGGCTTGTAGGCTTATAGGCCCGACATGTACAAAAAAAACTTATGGTCTATTTTCTAAATACATTTTTTTTAAAAGCCTAGGCCTATTCTATTTTACTACTTATAATATGCTAGGTCGTAGGCCCCTGTAGGCCGACTTAACCCATTTACACCCCTAGGCACAATGCTTGATCATAATTAATGTACCAATCATAATTAATGTACCAATCACAATTAATGTACCAGTCACCAATCACAATTAGTGTATCAATGGAATTAACTTTTTTGATTATATCAATCACAATTCATATATCAATCACTAATCACTTTGGAAGGTCATAACTTATTAACTTTTGATTCGAATATTCAAATTAGATGATTTTTTATTTTATTTCACATAACTTTTTGAGATCTACGCAATGAAACCGCATTTGACATATTTTTCTCTCAAGAACATTGTTCGAATTTGAAACAATAGTATCACAAACAATTAATCTACCAATCACAATTAATTGTGATCGGTACATTAATTGTGATTGGTGATTGATACATTAATTGTGATTTGTACATTAATTAAATAGTTATTTGCCTTTGTTTTCTTTGTTCGATTGTGACATTAATTCCGACCGGGCAACAAGATTGTGCCACATAGCGCACCAAGTTCGCTATCCCTCGTAGCGAACTTAGTCCAGTCAGTTTTTTCTGCGAAAGTGTGCCACGTATCATGAATTTATCGGCACCAAGTTTGGTTTCAGTCGTAGTGAACTTGGACATGTGGCAAATTTTTTCTATAAAAATGTGTCGCATGTCAAGAAATTATTGCCTATCAAGTTTGTTACCAGTTGTAACGAACTTCAACGCGTGACAGTCTGGTAAATTTTAATGTGCGCATAACAATTTGGTATATAAATACTAAAAATGGGACATAATGATCACTGTTCCTTTTTTTTTTCCTTTTATTCCTTTCGAATCTTTCACCGAATGTATTTAAGATTAGTGTTGTATTGCCTACTAAAAAAAACTAGTGGTTATTTTTTTTTGGAGAGAGTTATATTTATAAATTTTTTGTTTACAAACTCTTATAAATATACTGTATACTTCCGAAAGCACACTAGATTACACTATGTATTTCTGAAAATACATAGTGTAATTTGCAAAAATTTATAAAAAAAATTATAAAAAAATTATAAACGGATTCTTTCCCTACTTTCTTTCATCAAGCAAGGTTGCTTAATTATTGTACTTTTTTTTTCTTCCTCTAATTTCTTAAGAACCAAACCGTTCAGTTTGGTTTTTACCAGTTTAGTTTGGAACAAAAAATCGAAGGGAAAAAGGACATACACTTAGGTTATTTTAAGAGAGAAATAGACACAAAAAGGTGAGATTCAAACTTTTATTTTTTTTGTTTTTATTGTTTTCAATGAGACCCACACCTCTTTGTGTCTACCTCTCTTCTAAAATGACTTAACTATGTATCCTTTAAAAGAACACACTTTTTCCATTTTTAGGAGTGTAAAAAAAATTATATGAACCAAATTAAATTAAACTGTATCATATTTTTTTGAACTGATTTAAAAATTAAATTATTATTTTTAAATTAATTCAAGAACCGAATTATTTTTTAAAATGATTTAGTTACTGATTCAATTTTCAAGGTCAAAACCAAATCGAAATGTGCCGACCTCTAGTTTCAATAACACAAAAAATATTTAATCATTTATTAAACTTGTATTTAATACTTCTAACTTATTGAACATCACAATCATTAAAGATTAGATGTAAGTACTATAAATGATTGACAAAGGGGTAAGAAATTTTAAACCTACACTGTATAAGTTGATCCCTCCTCATCCATTATAATATTTATTGTCACACACATATACCGTGATGGTGCCATCGATGCTTATTTGAAAGACGTGACATGTGATGTGACACCCCCATGGTTATTGTTTCTAAGCTCGTACCCTGTTATTGAACTTGGTACTCGTGACCAAATCCTTGAGATAGTTACAACGATCGCGATAAAAATCAACCACAAAACAGAGCTGCCTTATTGCTTCCCTCTTTTTCTCGCCAAGGCTAACGAAGTCTTCATCCTTTTCTTTGAGATTCTTTTCCAATTTTCCCACTTTCTTCTCAAGCTGGCTCACCGCTTTCGTTAGGTTAAGCTTCTCTCCTCCTTCCTTGCTCACTTTGGCTTCTAAGTTCCACACCTTCTCTCTTAACAAGAATTCCTGCTCTTCTTTTTTATTCAGTAACACCTTCAGGTTATCCACATTATCTTTCATTTGTTCAATCTCAACATTCCTTTTCTTTATCCAATCCTTCGCAAGCTGAACCTCACACAGCATTTTAGAGACATGTTCTTTCTGTGTTTCAACCTTCTCAGCTGCCAAATCTAATCCATTCAGAACAGACAAGTCTAACACATTTGGATCACACGCTTGTAAGGGTGTTGTTGTTGCACTTGCACTCGAACTCACTTTAAGCTTCGTTAGTTCCTTTTCATAAATAGCAATTTTCTCTACAAGAATCTTGTTCTCTTGCTCATACCTTTGTTTTGTCATTTTGCAACTGTTTTTGTTCTCATTGTTAAGCTGTTCTGCCACGTGGATCCTCTGGTGCAACAACCGGATATTGTCAACCATTTTATTCCGAAACTCATCTGCCATGTCTTCCACTTTCCTTTCTGTCGATCGACGAATCAACTCGAACTTGTTAGACAAAATTTTGACTTGTTTTTGCTCCGCACTTAATCGTTCAATGGTGACTGCTTGATCCTTTACAGTTTTCTCTTGATCAGCTATCTGGCTTGATAACTTGACGTTCAAATTTTCCATCTTTTCTAGGCTTTCTGCATATTCCTTCTCGCTTCGTTCATTTTGTTGCTCAAACTTGCTTTTCTTTTCATGCAGTGTGTCCAACTCTAGTCTCATAGCATTAACTTCTGCTTTTAGAGCCATACCCTCCATAGAAGCTCCATTTATTTGGTCCTCGTGTTCCTTCATAAAACCAGATATCTCTTCCCCTCTTTGTGTCATTGCTGTTTTCAGTTCATGGTTTCTGTCCTGCAGGGCCTTCTTTTCATTCTCCAACTGTTTGCTCTCAAAAGTTTTATCTCTTAACCGCTCTTCCAATTCATTTTTCTGGTTGCTTAGAGTTTCCAATTCTAGTTCCAGGTCCTTTGTCCTTGCAAGAAAACCCACTTTCTCTTCCACCATACTCCGTTCAACTGAACTCTTTTCAGCTAAATTCTCCTTCAGACTCTCTATCTGGATCAGGTACTCGGATATTTGTTCCCTCTTTGTTTCCATCTGGGCTTCTAATTCTTTGTTCTGATTGCATAGAGAATCTAACTTTTGCTGCATAACGTTAAGCTCCTCTCTTTGGGTTGATGCTTCGTTCATATCACATTTTATTTTTTCTTCCATTTCATCTTTCTGGGTCCGCAGAGATTTAGCCTCCCATTTGAGCTCGTTGATCTGTGCCATTAAATTTTCAATATTTAACTTTGCTTGTTCCTCATTACTTTTGAGTTTCTCTTGCAGATTAGATACCACACCTTTTTCCTCTTTCAACAACAATTCAAGCTCCAAGACTTGGTCGTGCAGCTCAGTATTCTTTGTGCTTAGTTGTTTTACTTCATGTGCTTGGGTTTCAACTTGAAGTTCTAGATCCGATTTTTGCTGGCTTAAACTCCCCATCTCTTTCATTAGTGAAGTTAACTTCCCCTCAAGCTCTGTTACCTCTCTATTATTGCCTTCTTCAGGTTCCTGCTTAGTGGTGTCAGAAACACGGTGTTTTTCTTTTTCTGACCTTCTCTTATTACCATCCACTTCCTCTGGCGAGAAGTATTCTTCTGAGTCAGAGGAAGACACTGAAGCCCTCCTGTTTCTTCCGCGAGAAACTACTTTCCCAGGCTCTCCAGTAACACGATCATACAGTGCATAAAGTGACTGGCACTGCTTGTGTAAGTCCTCAATCAGTCCCACAAGTTCTGCCTCTTTCCTAGAACGTTTGGAGTTCCCATCTTTTCTGCTTTGGTTTCCGTTCTTAATAAGCTTTTGGATTTTTGTGATGTTGTTTTCAATATCTGCAAAAAAAAATGGGAAATCATGAGAAAATTTAAATTAATGATATTTCAAAATTAATAAGCTGCAACAATATTAGTAACAACTCGGTTAATTGGTATAAAACCATCCTTCATTTATTTTCTTGGGCAAAACAATTGATCTCTTCTTAATCTTGTAGGGTATTCCAAGATTCATGTGTGGAAAAGTATGTATATTTATAAGTGTTGAGATATATAAAATTATTAATCTAGTCTCACCCAATAACTTAAGCTTTTGGGGTTTTTGGGTTGAATTGGTTATTTACATGGTATCAGAGCCTCGATCTCGTGTGAAGGGACATGTTGAGATATATAAAATTATTAATGTAACCTCAGCCAATAATTTAAGTTTTTGGGTTGAATTGGTTATTTACAATAAGAAACAATCTGCACCTGTTCTGGTCCTTTTGAGTTCTTCAGCATTTTCAGGATCATCTACACTCCCAGAGAGCTTGAGTGATTCCTTTGAACGGTGACTTGTCATCTTTTGTTATGGGACTATCAGCAAATATTACAGTTACAAGGAAATGCCAATCAAAGAACTCTCCATTGTCTCCATCTAGGAATGCTGAAATTGAGACATGAAGACAGATATGACAAATTGATCGTCATTATGAAACTGAAGGTGTGATGTTGCATTAAAATTTGATGAATGTTTATAAAGAACATATGCAAGATGATTAATGTAAATACTCTAAATTATAAATTTAAAATACGAGATTGTCATGCCTCAATTTATACACTAAAACAAATAATTAAAATTACAAAATCAAATACAATATTATCATTACTCAAACCAATACTCAGTATGCACATGGCAATGTAAATCTGCACTCAACTGAGTAATTTAGTATTATGCGATAACAACTTGACTCAAATTCCCTTAGATACAGTGCGAAGAAAAGTACAAACAAGACAGCAGTTGTATCACCTAAAATCAGTAATTTGGAAACCGAGGATAGCATTTGAAACAAGAACATATGTTGTAGCCATTCAATAGTAGGAAACACTTCAATCAACAGAAAATTAGCTACAGTAGTCACTAGTCACTTGCTGGAAACTTTTGAAAGAAGAATTTAAGTTATAATTATCCAATATATCTTTGCCAGAGCAGTTTTCGCAGTATGCCTGCCAACAAGAAACAGTATCTCAACCATAAGAAAGTTCATGGCTTTTTTTTTTTTTTAAAATGATGTCATAGAAGACTTCGGATTTTGTCTTTAGGGGATTGAAGCTGAACCCAACTCTGAAGATCAGTTCCAAGGGAAGAACTAAAGAGAAAAATAACAGCAACAACAAAAAAAGCCTCAACTATCTAGCTGATTGATAATATTGAATGAAAAATCTTTTTACAGATATAAAAGTTTCTCTCCTTTTATTAAAATATTGAAATTATAAAGAATCACATTAAAACTTTTTACACGTAATTATATAATTTTTTTTTTTTTTTTTGATAACAATAATTATATAATTTACTTTTATAAATATTGTTATTTTTTTCACGATGCAATTAGATATCTTTATAAGTTAAAATGCACATAATCTCCTCTTAACTATATGTTAATTGTAAATAATTTTTCATATGGATTAAAACACATTACTCAAATCTTTAAACTTATTAAAGCGTGTAAATAAGTGGCTAGATTTCAAATTGCAGAATTTTTTTTTCAAATTGACCAATAATTTATGGAGTTCATCCCCCTTTACCCTAATTTTTATTACTATAAATGGAAAACCATATTTCAACTCTCGAATTTATTTTTTAATCATTCATAAAGATAGTTTACTCATTCCATTTGTAAGAATGTTTAGCTATTTACTTTAACATACATACACACACAAAATAGAGTTGGGCATGAGCGGCACTTTGTATTCACAACAATGCATGATTGCATTCAGGTTTTTGTTTTAAAAAAATCACTAAAATAAAACTCGTTCAAATCCACTCTGGTTCTTCTTATTATTCCGACTCCGATGTTGACAAGCATTAGCATCATGGCCTGACCCACAGCAAGTACCGGTCCAGTTGTGCACCCACGAAACAAATTTACATGATAAATGTGGCTGCCTTTTTTTCGGCACATGTCCACTTCCCACATTCATTTGTAAAATGGGGCCATCCAATACCATGTTCACTCCCTTCCGTAAAGATAGGCTAGCTGACTGACACCTCATCATCATTTGTTTTCCTTATTTATTGAAATGTGGCTGTTCTCTAATTGAAATTGTTTTCCTTATTTATTTAACTAAAACTGTTTTCCAATTGAAAATGACCTTTGCATATACTTCAAAGTTCAGTTACGAGTAGAAAAGAGTGTAAAAAGCAAATATTATGTACCTAGCAGGCCAAGTTGACAGCACCCATTTATTATATATATTACGTAAGGACAGGAATGAAAGTCCTCAAAATGGAATACCCAAGAGCTTGTATTTCTTAAGCTTACACTTTTTCATCATTATGAAAAAAATTTCTTAATGTAGAGGAGAAACAACCTTAAGGACATATATATATATATATGTATGTATATATATATATATATATATATATGATTAAGTTTTTCTCCAGTTTTCTGCAGATTTAGAAAATAGAACAAAGAAAAGAAGTGAAGGTGAGAGAAACCTAGCTAAAAAATATTAATGCAGCAGAAGGGAGAATAGTTCTCCACCAATAGGAAAAACTATTTTCCCATATATATTTGGTGATTGTCATATATTTTGTTACTCTTGTTCTGGCATCACTTTAGTTTTTAACAAAGAAAAATGCTACTGCACATGAGATTTTATTCAACTCTAACCCTTAATTTCTGGAATATATATCTGCATGAATAATAATCAGCGAAAAATGAAAAACACGGAAAGGATCAATCAACCTACATTAATCTAACATATTCAACTTCGAAATAGAGATTTACAAAGGAAGATAAAATAGCTTGTAAATAGAGTAAGAATAAGCAACAACATTGATAAAAATCATAGCAAGTCTGGAAAGAGAGAAATAGAAACACAATCAAATCTAGAGGTTATAGGCACAAATTCTATGTATGTGAAGATGGAGTATGCAAACAGCGCTGAAAACCTAAGCGTTAATCCTGGATGCACAAATAATAAATTCCAATGCAATGGAAATTACAATATCATTATCCATATTATCCGTAACAATTTTACTCATTCGGAATTAGGTATCTCTAATCAGCATTTTATGTTCAATCGGATTTTCGTTTCATTGATTATTCCAAATTCAAATAACAAACAGCTTCATCCTATGAGAAAGATTATGCATTGCAAATCAAAATACGAGTTGCGTTTTCTTCAACAAACGTAAATGAAGCAAATCAATTAATAATAGATCCAACAGTATTTCTGTTTTTTCCCGGATAAAGATATATAATAGGAAAACAGTTACTACCTGGGAATGGAGCTTGATATATCCACCAAACCGATTTGTATAAGAAAACTGAAATAAAAAAACAGGAAATAAACGATAAAATAGAGTATAATGAAGAAAAGAAAATAAACAATTTTCGAGAAATACGAAAGAAAAAGAATCTGAAAGAATAATGAGTATATTATAGTTGTCGTGGTTGTCCTTCTCTCTTGAGAACGAGAAGGTAATCTTGGCACTTCCTCGAAATAAAATGGCCTTTAAAGTTCGAAGTTATTACGATTGAGAATCACTTGAATATCTCGCGAATGATCAATGAGATATATAAAAAGGGACGATACAAAATCGTCTCACATGTTTCTCAACACAGATAAATTACAGCAGGAGCAAAAACTCAATGGCATTTCTTTCGGTTGAGAAAAATATTTATCATTTTAAATGACGTAACTTTATATTATTTTATAAGAAATAATATTGCTTTGGTGTATATTTGATAATTGTTTACATCGTTTTTCCTCTATAAAATTAAAAAGAGAGAAAAAATTGAGGAAAAAAATTTAAAAAATCACCAATTATACATCAAATGATATCATTTCATATGAAAAGATACAAAATTAGGTCATTTAAAATAACTTTACTTATTAAATATTTTATCTTTGATGGTTATATGTAGACTGGATTGTATTATTATTTTTTATTTTAAAATTTATACTCCTATTTTTTTATGAATAGAAATATAGGAAGAATTGTATTTATAATTTTTTTTTTTACAAACTCCATTATATACTAGGGATAATAACTATGTGCTGGAGTGGAATGTACTACCTCTAATACATAGTGTAGTTTGTAAGAGTTTTAAAAAAAAAATTGTAAATATAATTTCTTCCTAGAAATATATTAAATTTTAACCTATTTTACTATAAACGAATTTCTCAGAGATTAGCAATAATAAATTATATTTCCAAATGCTTCTCTTTCTAACTGTTAGTCACAAGCTATGATGCACAGACACGGACACGACACGACACGCCGACACGTTAATTCTAAAAAATGTCATATTTGGACACGTTGGGACACGTTTTGATATTAAATAAATTTTTTAATATAAATAATATGATTTATATTTAATACATATAAGAGTCCATAATAAGTCATATAACCAATTAAATATTTAAATTTCATAACATAAATATAAATATAAATATAAATAATTTTTCGTAGTTTGTTAATTTTTAATGTCAAATTTTATAACAGAAACAAATTAATTTATGAATTATTTCTTTTATATTTAGTTAACAAAATAAAATTAAGATTTAAAAAAAACAAAAAAAAACGTGTCCGAGCGTGTCCCCAAATGTTGACCGCGTGTCCCTAAATATTGACCGCATGTCGGAACGTGTCGGAGAGTTGACCGCGTGTCCCCAAATGTTGACCGCGTGTCGGACGAGTGTCCGAGCGTGTCGTGTCCGACACGTAAATTTCAGAAAAATAAGCGTGTCCGTGTAACGGAGGTCACAAGTAGCTGAATTTATTTAAAAACTTTACTATTAATTTTAAGTCATTAAAAAATAAAATGAAAATTTGACCCCCTATTATTCATTTTGTGACTGCACTTAAAATCTTTATTCTATTTTATTAAATTCCAAAATTTAAAATACAAGTTTAAAATTAAGTTGCTGCCAACAACACTTAGAGCCTGTTTAGATGAGGGTTTTTTTTTTTCAAAAGTTTCTTTTTTTAAGAAAAAAAGTACTTTTCATTTTAAGTTTGTTTGGATATCTGCTTTTAAAAAAGCAGAAGTCACAATAAAGTCAAATTTTTTGTGTTAACTTTTAAAATAAGGAAGAGATAAATACAAAGGAAAATATATAATTAATATAAAAATGTTAGATTTGTGTTAACTTTTATCGATAAAAGTACAATATAAGTATATAATTTTGTAAGGACTCAAATGTAGTGCACTAACCAATTAAATATCTCAATTTCAAAAATTACTATTTATAGAATTCAACTTTAGGAAATTTCTCATGTCATAAGAGAGTTATTTTCTTCTACCAGTGATCTTTTGATTTTTGTGCAATATTATTTTTTTGTTTTTTTAA